TCCGTTTGTGTTGCCAAAACATGCTCCCTGCAGGCATGCATCAAATGGACTGGAAACTTTCTGGAAGGAAGTGGGAGCTCGGTTCAGAAGGGGAGAGTGGGAAGACAAAAAGAGTTGAGTAGGTCTGCTAGAAATCCTGCCACAAAATGGTTTGTGTCCTTAGGTAAATGTTTTAGGAAAGGAAAATTGGTTGTAGGGGAGTTTTCTAAAGTAACAGCAGCGAATAGGCAAAATGCCCCGCTTGTCTCCCATCTTCAGGTTAGAGCAGAGGGGCTGGGCAGAGCCCCTGGGTGGGGCAGAGACCCCTGGTCTGGTGGGAGCTCTGGAACCAGTGCGGGTGCCCTTTGGGCGACTCTGGAAATCTGTGTGGAGGAAATGCTTGCCGTCTACCAGCATGATTTGGCATCTCTAGGTTACCCCCAACCCTGTGAACCTGGGGAGAGGGTCTTCCTGGTGCAGCTGTCTACACCTCAGCCCCTCACTTCCTGCCACCCCCACACACAGGTCATGGAGCCGCTCTTCTCATTCTTTAGTTTGTTTGTTTATGTTTTGTCAGTAGTCTCTTCACCTCACATGGGGCTCAAGCTCACACCCCGGGATCAAGGGTTGCATACACTCTTCCACGAGACCGGCACCCCAGGCTTCCTCTGCTTTAAGAAATTCCCACCCACGGGTGCCTGGGTGGCTCAGTGGGCTGAGAATCTGCCTTGGGCTCAGGTCATGACCCCAGGGTCCTGGGATTGAGCCCCACATGGGCCTCCTTGCTCAGTGGGGAGTCTGCTTCTCCCTCCCCCACTCTCTCCCCCCCTACTTGTGCTTCCCTCTCTCACTTTCAAATAAATAAAATCTTAAAAAAAATATCTTCCCATCCATCTGCTAATCATAAACATGTCGCATCATGAGACCCTTTCCCCCGATACCCCCAGAATCACAAGCTGCCCCGGGGACTCTGACAGTGGGAGCAGGCAGTTAGCGGGGGGCTGGGCAAGGCGGGGGAGAGAGAGACAGAGAGATTTTGAAGCATGGACCTAACCCCGGGGTCAACCACATAGCCCTGAGATAATGACCTGAGCTGAAATTGATATCTGAACACTTAACTGAGTGAGCCACCCAGTGCCCCAAAATGCCCTTCGGTTTTAAATTTGGATCGTTCCCTGGGTGGGGAGAAGCACTGGGACCCCGTCTCCATAGCAGTGGGGGTGAAAGTCACTCTCCCAGTCTGTCCCGCTGACAGGAGGGCGGACATCAGAGACTGACAACCACTGCGTCCCCGCAATCATGCTGTTACACCTTGATGACAGTCCTCAGGAAATTACAGGGGATAATGCACTCTGCTCCCCCAGCCTGCACGTAGAAAGCAGGACTCTGAAGTCCAAGGACGCTCAGGTACCTGAACCACCCTCTGTGTGTGGTGTCCTCTGCTGAGCCCGACCAGAACTGGGGCGCACAGCTAATGCCTTCAGCGGCGCCCCCCACCCCCCGCATCAAAACTCATGGATCACTTGCAGGTGCACAGAAGAGCCCTGGGAGAAGGCGGTTTGGGGGACCTGCTGGGCTCCTAATGATGAAGGAAGCCACTGAGATAGAAGTGAGACTTCTGACTCTGTCCAGCCCTTGGGGATGGTTTGAGTTGAAAGGGTTCCGAGTCCGCCACCCTAAAATATGTCATTTGACCCAGTATTATTTTGAGCTGAAAGTCACCTCCAATTCACAGCTACAAGAAAAACTCTCTGGCCCCCCTCTCCCCACCAGGGAGGGAGGATGGATGCTTGGTGACGGGAGGCAGCCCGAGACCCCAGTCCCCAGGCAGCTCCGTAATAATTTGTACCAAGGAGCCTTTCCATTCCTTTCCCATATTTTGCCACCCCTGAACGTAGAAATCCCTTTTCTCTCCTTTTGTCGTCGCCTCTGCACCAAGCGTTCCTTCTATGTGGAGAGGCTGTAGCAGCTCTGGTTTGATCACCCATCTCTGGTGAGGCCCTCGCGCACGTGTGAGTGACGCTAGCGCCGACCCGCTGTTCGCACGCCCTCTTCTCCTCTGCCTTTTCCCAGTCTAGAAGCTCGCGGCTCCAAAGCTGCTCCTCACTACAGAGTCCTGTGAGGAGAGGGGCTGGCGGCAGAAGTGGGGAAGCTGTTGTCACAAAGCGATGAGCGGACAACTGCCCACGGACTATTCCCAGAGCTGCTGGCCGCCCTCAGGACAGCATGGGAGCGGGAGTCAGGAGGACCCATGCTCTCCCGAGGACTGGCAGCTTGGGGACAATGAGGACATGACACCACTGACAGGAATACAGGGGTTCCCGGGGGTGGCCCATAGCAAGAGACCCCACAGACAGGCTCCTGAGACAAGCTGGGCTCCAGCTTCCTTGAGGGGGAGGATGAAAGGGCAGGAGTGGGCTATCTGGTCCCGTACTACATGTTTTCCTGTTAGTCAGTGTATGGTGCTCTGTAGTCTTCATTTGCTCTGTCATTCTTTCCTTTGTAATGGAGGTCAAATGGGGTGCAGGTTGAGGAGCCTGAGTGGTTGGGGGACAAGGTGGGGGATGGAACAAGGCTCCATCCACTGTGCTCACCAGAGCATCTGAATTTTCTCTCGGGCACACCAGATTGCGTGACAGATTGCAAGATTACATTTTTTACCAATTGTTTGGGGTCAAGGAACAGTGGAATGCAGGCAGAAATTACATACAGCACTTCAAGTTCTGGCCCTAAAAGCCCCCGTGTGGCTCTCCATGCTACTTCCCCTTCTATAGAGTCCTCAGAGACTAGATTAAAGATGGCGGCAGGAAAAGCTGGAAGGAGCCGGAATCTCTAAATAATCCCCATTACCTGTATGGATGGTGAAGTGGGTTAGCAATCTTTTTTTTTTTATTATTGTTTTAAGACACCAACATTTCAGAGATTTGGGTTAACAGCTCGCCACTTCCAACTCATACATCACTTAGGGACTACTCCTTCCCTACGCTTTTCAGCTTCCAAAGGCTCTCCTTCTTCCTTCAGCTGGCTTCCTCCAGATCACCCCGAATCATAGACCCCATAGTCTCCCACAGACCCTGCTTTTAAAAATGAAAATAAGCATGATTCGTGACTCGGGCCTGGCGAGGAAGAAGGCACGCTTGCCCCTGTCCAATGCCCACCCCTCTTCACCCCAACTGGCTTTTGAAGACTCTCCCGGGAGCCTCTCCAAATGAGGGAAAGAAAAGGGAGACTGGGCCTGGCACAGAGCTAGTTTATGACTTCCCCCTACAGATAGCCCATCGTGAGTGCACAGCAGTTGTGAGGATCGTGAGAGTTGCAAAGTGTGTCGATCCCGCTTCTTCGGGTCTGGGCAGGGCGGCCTCCAGCTTTAGAACTTGTTGCAGAAAGATGAGTCACTGCAACATTTCTCCTCCAAAGCAACATCCTTATTAAAGATGGTCATAGGGGAGCACACACTGCTGCAGCCTTGGTACCCATAGGAAAGGATATTATCTACAGAGAGGCAGAGAAGAGGCCGAGTGAGACCCCAGAGCCTGGGTTGCAGACCCATGGCTGTGGGGTTCAGCGCATCCTGGCATGCAGTGCTGTCAACATTGCGGAAAGGATCCATGGGTCACTGCATCCACAAATTAATCAAGGAACCAGGAGAAAATGGCACTTTCCATCCAGCACTCCTCCTTCCTGCTGGGGAGAAGGAGGATCTGCTTCCCAGGATTGAGAGATTTGATCGAGTGGCTCGCTTGTAGAATATGTGTGGGGGCTCTGTGTCCTGGGATTCAGTCCCTCCCCACCCAGGAGGGGGCAGGAAGGGGTGAATAGAAATTGCCCTAATCACCCTCCCCACTGCTCTCCCCCTACCTCTACCCCCAGTTTCCCAAAACTCTATCACACTCAGGTCCCACTCAGTGGGATGTTAGCACACTTCCTGTCAGCGCAGGCGCTAACAGAAGATCCTGTCTTCCTCTCTTACAGGTACCGGCCCAATCAGGGGCCCCTGGCAGCAAGTTTCCGAATCAGGTGACATAAATGCACAAATTTAGTTGAAAAAAGGAAATGAACCCCTGCCTATATTGGTGCTACTCCCGGGCTCCTAAGGTCCCACTTCCCTGGGTCCTAGAGTCACCTTGCCTTGTCCTGGGACCCAGCTCCATGGGGTCCCATGCGGGGTCCCACTCCCAATCCT